TTTATTTTCCGATATAATATTCTTGTTCGGCGACTTCAAAAGCCCATATAATATCAATTTGATTAAAATTGCTTTGAAAATTGTCATTTTTTAATAAATTCTTTAAAAAAGTCGGCCATATTGGATCAGCAATTTTGAGTTTTTATTTTCTGATTCTTGTTCAGAAACCTCAAAAACCCCTATAAAGTCAATTTAATTAAATTTACTTTGAAAATTGTAATTTTTAAATAAATTGTTTGCAAAAAGTCGGCCATATTAGATCAGCCCTTTTAAATTTTTATTTTCTGATATAATATTCTGGTTCAGAGACCTCAAAAACCCCTATAATGTCAATTTAACTAAATTTACCTTGAAATTTGTAATTTTTAAATAATTTTTTTAAACAAGTCGGCCATATTGGATCAGCCATTTTGAATTTTCATTTTCTGATATATTCTTGTTCAGAGACCTCAAAAACCCCTATAATGTCAATGGAACTAAATTTACTTTGAAACTTATAATTTTTAAATAAATTTTTTAATGAAGTGGGTCATATTATATCAGCCATTTTGAATTTTCATTTTCTGATATAATATTCTTGTTCACAGACCTCAAAACCCCCTACAATGGTAATTTAACTAAATTTACTTTGAAATTTGTAATTTTTAAAGAAATTTTTTGAACAAGTCGGCCATATTAGATCAGCCATTTTGAATTTTCATTTTTTGATTTAATATTCTTGTTCTGAGATCTCAAAAACCCCTATTATGTCAATGTAACTAAATTTACTTTGAAATTTGTAATTTTGAAATAAATTTCTTAAACAAGTCGGCCATATTGGATCAATTTTCATTTTCTGATATAATATTCTTGTTCAGCGATTTTGAAAACCCCTATATCGATTTGATTAAAATCGTTTTGAAAATTGTCATTTTTTAATAAATTATTTAAAAAAGTCGGCCATATTGGATCAGCCATTTTGAATTTTTATTTTTTAACATTATATTTTTATTCAGTGACCTCGAAAACCCCTGCAGTATCAATTTGATTAAAATTTGCTTGAAAATTTTTAATTTATTTTAAATAATCTTTGAAAAACCATTTTTTGTTTAAACAATTAAATAATAATAAGCGTACAAATTTAAGTTTACAACTTTTTTCTACAAGCCATTTCAAGGCGATTGCAATGTTTTATGAAAATCCAAGGCTGTGCTAATTATTCCGAAATAATGACATATTTTTAAGCTACCTTTACTCCACTATATCGTTAAAATTTATATCAACAAATTATTTTTATTATATTTTCTATTATTTTGCAACACTGGAACCTATATTTCCATACACAACGCCACTCCGTATTAGCAGATTCCGCATTCGCGGTACATTTTCGGAACGTATTCCCCGCCAATAAATAGCTTTGACTGTATTACTATTCTTTTGTCTATTTCTACCTTCCTTTGCTTTAATATTTTGTTGTTTCTGTTTACTGCGTGTTCTGTAATTTGGCGACCTACTTGTTCGGACAATAAAGTTATTAGTATTATTTTATTTGTTATTGTTGTTGTTCTCGCTATACATATATTATAATTATTTCGCTACGTCTTGGGGTGCGGTTACTAGCTAAGCCGAGAATAAGCGTAAGTTTACTTACAAATTCGTCACATTCGGGCGACAAGAGTGGTTCATCATGCTGACGGATGGGAAAATTCCACTGGCTACAGATCCGACACTATCCGGGATAAAACAGTCTCTCAGACAGTCTGAAAAATGTTCCGTAGATTCTGAATCTATCTCTTTCGGAACGAACGACCAATGTTCAATGACGCTGGCGTTATAAGTGAGCTGTGCCATGTGCTTCACGAGCTGGCCGCCAACCAACTTAATGAAGCTGTCCTTATCCTTTACCGGACAATTTTCCCTCGTCAAGTGCCACTGGAAGAATTGGGTGTAGTCTTCCAAGTATTTCACCACGACCAGAGCCCACTGAAACATTATTTATCACGGATCTGCCTGCAACAGTCCGCGTTACGGGAAGCCAACCATCGTTTAAAAAATACAAGAAAATCGAAGCGTTAAATAATAATAATTTTCCGAAATTTAAACCAAAATATTCCGCTAGGGCAAAAAATTGACACACCCTGTATGTACCGTATCGAACTTACCAGCAAGTACGACATAAGGTGTTCGTTTCCATCCAAATGCGACACGAGATTATTGAAATAGCGATAGTTGTCCGTGCGGCTGCCAAAATTCTTCAAGTCCTCCTCGGGGGTACTAATAGTCCTATCCAAACCGGTCCGAAGACCCCTCACCAAGGCCCTTAAAGCGGGGAGGGCTATTCCCAGGTCTTGCCAGATTCCGGCCTGCATCCCAGGGCACTCGAATCTGTGGCATCTGTTCCAGTCAGACTCCAATCTGCAATGATCGTCGCAATAGAAGCACGACGGGCAATCCCTGCACCTGTAATCAAATGTTTGGAATTAAGTACAAAATCAATGATAAAAGGAAGTATCTCGGATAAGTCGTATCAAATAATTTTTCCCATATCCCGAAACTAAACGGGATATAGCAAGATGCGGTTCCAAATTAAAAAAGAAAAACAGTCGTTAAACGTCCTAGAAGTTCTACGTTTTGAATAACGAATAACTTGATTTCTTTAACGGAACCTTTTATAAAAAAACAAACCCTAACAGTGCTTAATAAAATTATGCTCGGAAAATTTTGTAACGTAATGTCACGAATCAGTCGTCAGCTGAAGCGAACAGCGTTACCAAGTTCACATCATAATCTGTGGTTCACATTTACTGTGGGTTCCGCGTTAAACATATGCAAGTAAATAAAGGAGCATGCTGCATTTGATTAAAATCAATTTTAACAATTGTATTAACTTAGCGCAAAATGTTTTAACAAGCCTGACTTCTCGAAGTCAACTTTCGTTAAAAGAAAATAAATAAAGCAGAGGTAGTTACCTGTTTGTAGGCACACCGTATTTTATCAAATAAAAAAAGTCGGCACATTACTAAATACCCGAATATACAAAATACACTACACACGGTTACAAAACCATTAACAATTTAAAGCGTTTATTCAAATCTACCACCTTCCATATCTCCCGCATTTTTCCAACTGCCTCTATCATACCATACCGCGCAGAGAACGTGCAGGACATCAACAAAATGACTTAAATGTGATAAAGGCTGTTTCAAATTTAGTCGAGGAGTAGCCTATTTCCACAAGAACAATTTCAGAGCGACTGGAGATATCACAAACCAAAGTTTGACGGATATTGCGCGAGAATTCACTTAACCCATACCATTTTCAAAAAGTTCAAGCTTTAGAACCAGCTGATTTCCCTAATCGTCTTGAATTTTGCAGTTGCAGCTAAATCGAAGAGCAGCAGAC